ACATTACCTAACGTCACCAGTAGGAAAAATATCGGCGTGTGATTATCGAGAAGGACAAAGCTAGCTAGGTTCCTGTTAAGTGAATTATACCTACGTCAATTCGTAATCAACCCGCTCATCGTGAACCCTCAAAAAGATATCGAAGAAGTTCCAGACTAAAAGGAAGACTTTATATTGCTTGTAAGTTTGTGAAACTTTTGTTCATAAATCATTGTTTGTAATAACTATTTGTAATAACTGTTATTGTAAATTGTATTGTCGTGTGTATATCAAAACGTATTTGTGTTAAAAAAGAAAACTATGTGTATCAATTTTGTTGGCACTATATATCGCCTTTTACTTAACTACTAAATCCAAAGTACAATATAACTACTAAATTTAAATTTATAAGTTAACGCAGTTTCAGGCCATTTGAAATTCTAAAACGTAACAGCGGTCAATTTTGACACCAGAAAAGTCGTGAAAACACAGAAAAATATAAAATTGTCTATATCACTGTTTGGGGTCTGCAAGAAGGTATTTTTGTACCAAATACCATGTTAGTTGGTTCACATATACATGAAGAGTTGACGAAAACCCCAAATTGTGCTTTCCTTGCTGAAAAATTGAGCTAAAGATAAAAATTCCAAAAATGTCTATATCTCTATTTGGGACCTGTAAAAAAATGTGCTATTTGTGCTAATTTTCATCTTAATTGCTGTAAATATGACCGCACAGGAGCCCAAAATATATATTCTTCGGTAGTTTTACTTTGGATTCCATAAAATCCTTTAAAAGGCTTAAATAAAAAAGGAATACGGGCGTTGAGAAATGAAGGAATGGCGGACGATTGAATAATGTTTAGAAGAAGAATAAAGAAAAAAGAAGAAACTCGGGGGGGGGGGGGCACTAGGTAGAGCGCATACCTACGCCACGCAGTGTTGATCATATTTGACTCTCAAAAAAAAAATGTGTCCACGTGTCAGTCATTATCAACGGACACAGACCATTTCTAGAAGGACGATGAAAAATAATATCCTACATGTGTCCACCATATTTCATCAAAATTCGATAATTTTTGACTGGGTTATAGACTAAAAATAGTGTGAAAAATCAGTCCCCATGTTAACAGATATAGATCTATTTTTATTTTTATGATTTTGCTGTGATCTTGATCTTTGACCTTGACCCTCTAAAAATGATCACTTGTAAGTTGGGTCATAATCCAAATGTATACGTACTTTCGTCCAAATCTATTGAACCATTTTCGAGAAATCTTGCTGACAAACACACACACACACAGGGGGTGAAACATAACCTCCGTCACCTTCGGTGGCGAAGGTAACAATAGAAAAACAGTATGTGTCTTAGCGAAGACATAATAAGTACAAACTAATGTTAGCTTTAAAGAAGGCATGTAGTACATTTAAGGCAAAGGTCGATTTTTTTGTGATTGTTAACCTGTCTAATATTTGAAGTAAAAACTGAAGTAGTTCGGATATATCTGATGGTGGATAAATAAAGATAGTTAAAACAAGTTTTATTAATTTTTAACTCCTATAGTATCTAATAACACTTATAAATGTAAAAACAATGTGTATATTAGGTTTAATTATTTAACATTAATCATAAACAAATACACCATTCTGTGATTACTGGTATTGATATTTTAGACAACAATAGCTAAAATATCAGGCCACAGACCTCTAGAATTCAGGTTAAGCGTCCCTAATTTTGAACTACTGATCAGAGAGGAAGCTGCCGATCAGCAGCACTCGTCGAGATAAGAGTTTATCCAGCTTTGATTCAAACAACAAGATTGACTACCACTCTTAGAACAGCCACAGCTGAAATTACGATGCATGTTTAGCACCAGGGTGCAAACCTTAAAACTTTATGATCTGCAGCCCAGCACGCTAACCACTGGGACTTGTTCAGCCCATTTTTATTATAGTAAAGTGAAGAATAATTGTGAATTATTTTTACCCAATATTTAATTTTAAAAGTCACAAGCAGATAGCTACGCATGAAATGAAGTCACGAAGAAACATTTACAAGCAATAATACTATGTGCGAAAATATTTCAAATAAATATACTTTTATAAATTAATGCTCCCAGTGATAACAGTTCCATAAGATATCAATGACCATGATGATGTTCTGAAGACTCGAGAAGATACGAAGGTATGAGAAGAAAAAGTGCAAGAAATGTGTCATAAAAATTGGTCGCTTAATTAAGGAAAATAAACCTTAGTATATAGCGTTTATTTAGAAATCAGAAAAAAAAGAGATTTCCCAAAAATTTCTTGAAATAGTCTATCCAAGTGTTATTCCAAAAATGTATCTTAATGTGGAAAAAAAAATTGTATATAAATACATTGACTTTCCTTTAGAAACCTAGTTAAAGTCATAAGTACATCATGAATGCTAACTGAAGCTTACAGAACTAGAAATATGAGTATGATTTTTGGAGGCTAAGCTGACCTGAAGAAATATAATATTAGATTCTTCTATTGCTAAATTTAATTTTTTTTTATAAGACGTGTAAATAAGTTTATTGATAAACAAAATACGATAAAGATTCAAAGTAATCATGAGAAACTCACGAGTATTATTTTTTGAGTTATTATATCAAATACAAGCAATGCAAATCATCCGATAATATATCATTATTATATGAAAACTTACAATTTATTCACGAGTAACAAACTAGAAGCTCACAACATTCAACAGCAGTCCTCTGATGTTCAAGTATGTGCGTGTGAACACGAGTTTGAGTATGTAGTTCCTGATGTTGAAATATGTTAAATATTCTGAGGTTTGGGTCGTGGGATACATGGCACCTTGATTTCTGTGGCTAACCTTAGACGGTACCACTTACGAAATGCTTCCAATTTTAAGAATTTCTAATTTTGAGGGCGAAGATCAAACAATCCTGTACTAGCTTTTTACTATTTATACAAATTATGGAAACGCATTTAAATTAGCTACTTATCCACATAAGTAACAAATCGCTCTGACTGGGCCTGTAAAATGTTTCTAACACTTCTTTAGTGGTCGGAATGAAATGCGACCACTCTTCACAGGGAGAAATGTTCATACAAGCGAGATTTTTAAAGACTTTGGTTGGTTTTAGGCACAGAACTGTACAATGAGATATCTGTGCAGTGCCCATCGCAGAGATCGAATCCTAAGATTTAGCATCTTAAACCAATGAATTCTCCTAATACAGCTCCAATGGATTTTTGTGTTTTGGGTCAATTGAAATATACGCTTGAAAACTACAGACTCAGACATTACCAAGTTTATAAGTATGAGACAGCATTGGCATTAATGTATTCAGATGAAGCCAGGTATCATGGGAACATCACCATAGAGACATTGTTAATAAATAGAAGAATCAAATAGAGCATTATTAGGCACAATTACGCCGAACTTTATCATCATTTTAAAAAGTGTAAATGACCTTTTAAAATGTATTACTTTAATATGATTTTTCCCCATTACGACCTCAATCCCAACTAGTTTGATGGTCGACCGGTGTTTTTATAAGCCAAAAATGTTAACATCCGGGTGACTGGCTCAGTATGCAACCATATAGGACAAGCATGTGTGGCGACGAGAGTTCGAACCCACGACCCTCAAATTGCGAGTTAAGCGCCCTAATAAGCAGACAATACTAAACCCTCAAAATGTTAATTTTGTTAAAGTACTTTCATCATTATGAAGAAAAAGAAAGATGTACGGAATAAGAATTTTTAAAAGAAAGAAAGAATTTATATGTGTTGAAAGTGTTATTAAGTTCCCTTTAATAGTTACCCGATTACTTGAGTAAACATTTGATAGATATATTAGAAAAACATGTCGCTAATAAATACGTTAACTTATGTGTGTTTTTCATTCTGATTGATAAAATATAAATTATATTTTAATTCTTTTACATCTTTTTATAATTTTAAATCGGTAATACTAGTATTATACTGTAATTAACGTAAGTTTTAATAAATATTTCAGAGCTGATAGTAAACCGTTTTATAATGCTTGATAATAAAACTTAACTTACATTTTGACTTGCAGATACTGTAAATTCCACCTCAATCTCCAGCATATGGTCAAGCAGTAATCTCGAGATTTCTCTTTTCTTTCTGGCTAGAGTCAGATTGACCTTACCACATTTAACCCGAACCTGCTCAATAGTGCAAGATCCCTCTGACGTACAGTACTGTGAGGTATTGAACTGCTTCGTAAAATGACTTAGAAAAAGTGTTTTGATAACTTCTTGAACACGTGGATCAGAACAGTTCCCTGCAAAGTACTGACCGCTAACAGCCTTTCTAACCTTTGATGGAACATACCATTCTGTAAATGTGTTAAATATTAGAAAGACAATAACAGCAATAATCACAGTAAACTGGACACTGTGTGGTTTGACTGTTGGAAGACATCGTGTAAAGTATCGATAATTCACCCTAAAAAGACGTTATTGAATTGCTGTTACTCTAATTTTTTGGTACAAACATTTTAACGATTAATAAAAAAAAATGTGACAGTTCCAGTAGTCAAGAAAATAAAGATTTTTTAACAAAAAAGTGCATAAAATCTTTTGCATTCTTGTACAGAATGTGATTTAGTTGTTGTAAGAAATACAGAGACACAGTTTGGCGGCCATATTGACCTAATTTATTTAGACGAGTAAACAAACGAGCATGTGGCTTTTGACAAATTATGTTAAAAGTGCTTAAAATGTTAAACACCTATCTGTATGCCTTCAAATCCTTTTGTTATGTTAAATTATTCGAAAGATTTTGTAGCGTTAAGTCAACTTTATGAAATAGTTTTGATAACTGAGCATTGAAACCAATAATTACTTGTTGCACTGTATTATCATCAAGTAATTATAGGCATATTATTCTTATATCAGTTGTGGGAAAAGTTTTAGAAATTCTGGTGAAAGATGCTTTGCAAAGTCATTTAACAAAGTTTATAATTTTATTGGATAGTCAACATGGTTTCACTAAGGATAAATATTGCCTTACAAATCATTTGACATTCTTTGAAAAGGTTACTGCTTATAAAATTATCTCTATAGATGTGAGGGATAAGTTAGCAAACTGGATAGAAGAGAGCCTGGATGGAAGAAAGCAGAAGGTTTTATACATTTTTATCAAAGTGAATTAATGTTACAAGTGGGGTACCTCAGGGCTCAGTATTAGGACCTTTGTTCTTTTTTGATTTACATCATTGACAGATGAAGGAAGGGTGAATAAGATGAGATGGAGCAGCTCGAAGTTATATGGAATAGGTTTGTTCATATACAGCCAAATCTAATATATGTAGATGGTTGTTAACTATAATATAAGCCTAAAAAAGCTTCTATTATCGTTCATATGGTTGTAGTTGTCCCACTTATTTTTCTCTTGGAAAACTCAAGTGCACTATTAAACCTTACCTTTGAAAGGCGTGAGGTTTGATAAGTTATATTTATATGTGTATCTCTGTATTTAACCGCCTGATGACATATGTAGTTTGGTGTAGAAAGAATGAATGTAACCTGGAGAGAATCTGCTTTGTTTACTCGTCAAAATGCTCAGCCTCGTTCTCGCGACAACCTTGACACACCATATAAGGAAAACCGTGTCTCTCTCTCTGTGTTGTGTAATATGTCAACAATTCAACCTTCAAATACATTGTTGATATTTTTATTTTATGGTACAAACAATTTCAGAAGTAATAAAATAATAATTCCAGTAGCCAAGACAAAGAAAAAAGTTTTGGCAAAAAAAATATGCTTCATAGATTATATATTAATGTAAAGAATGTGCACAAATTGTTCAACAGAACACGACACAGAAAAATACAAATTATTTCAAGTATTTTTATAAGATACCGAAAAGGCTACTTTGGAATGTATTAAATTGGTTTCAAGCCTGATTCTCCTAATAAAAGAATCAACGATTACAAAATTTATTTTGCACGTTTTTAAACATGCTCATTACATATTCCTGATATACCTTTCATAATAAAAAATAAGGTAACACCTAAACTTTTTGTTATTTTATAACAAACCAAACTAACTGAAATATATTAAACAAAAAATGCTTCTGTATCTAGAAATAATAAAGAAAGTATTTTTTTTTAATTTAAGTCCAAAGTAAAAATTTGAAATAAAATAAGTATTTATTCTTTTTATTTACCTGTTATTGGTTCAGTAGTTTTTGTTCTTTCTAACGGTAACGTCGCTTTTCCTAAAATACCACACCTTCGGTAACTTTTGTTTAATTTCACACTTGGTTTCTTATCGTTTCGAGCATAACCTTCTATGTCTAAATGTGCAAGTTATTGACATTTTTTTTTCTAACCAAAAATGAAGCAGAATAGTATTCAAATCATAAAGGGGTCTAACAGATAACAAATCGATAAAACTTAATGATAGTGAAACGTAAGTTATATTTGTAGGTCTCACTAACACAAACTTTTGAATTCGGTCCTATTCATATGTGAATAACCCCCAGTGGCACAGCGGTATGTCTGCGGACTTACAATGCTAGAAACCGGGTTTCGATACCCGTGGTGGGCAGAGCACAGATAGCCCATTGTGTAGCTTGTGCTTAACTACAAAAAAACATAAACAAACATGTATGTGAATATTAAAAGACCAGAAAATATACAAATTCCCTTGCATAATGTATATTTTTGATATACACATTTACATTGAAATGTAATTATTGCTACATACCTGCACAATCCGGCCATGGAAGTGGATAGTTGAGGGGATCAGTCTCCCAATCTGATGTGCTCTCACAAATGTACCATTCCGCAGGTTTTGTAATGAAATCAAAGTTTTCATTACAGTATACCTGACAGAACTGTCCGTACAACCAATCATCACAAGCTAAGGCACCATTTACTGGGGGTGGGTAAAATGGGCAGTGATTCTCTGTAAAAACAATTTAGTACCATGAAAACACATATTCTATGAGGAAAGAAGTATTTTTAAATTGAAAATAGGAAAGCTGAGTTTCATATTTCTTAACTTCCTTTTCTTTATTCCACAGTAAAATGTTACAAATATTTATTTACAAACACATTCTAAGCTAACTCAAGACCTAAGAGACATGAAGGCAAAATAGTCAGTACTTTAACAATTAACTATGGAAAACATCAAAAGACACTTAAAACAGTAACGTGATCGCCAGTAGGCTTGATCATTTTAGGAAAACCATGAATATATTTTTGGTTTATTTAATTAGTAAGAATTTTGAGACAAGTTTCTCAGTTTTGTTTTTGATTTGTTACTATAGATATATGGTTGTGTAAAACATAACAAATAGAATTCTAATGTTCAAAAATATTTTAAAAAACATAAGGAAACAACTAAAATAGGAAATAAAAGGTGACTTGACCTTTTACAACAGAAGGACAAAGTGGTGTACCAAAACACAGCACATACAATTCATGATTAGATTCAAAATGACAAAACCATTGTTTTAGAATAGAACAACCAGATCTAAAGACTATGGGTTATCTTTGGAACCTTCTGAATGGATCGATTTCTTTAAATAGTTACATCATAGACTTATACCTTTCTGAAGACGTCGTTGTTCTAACTTTGCAGATCTTTAATCCTCCAAGTTTATCTCTGCAATTGTCGCCCTGAACATGACAGTTGTCACCCATTTTATCTTCCATCGATATAGACAAATTACATCAAATACTTGATGAAAACCTGTTTTGTTCCCAGCATTCATTAGTGCTTTTCATAATTCTAACGGAAGATTCATCTTGTCCCACTTCAGAAACTCATATATAAACGATTGTCTTGCATTTGACCAGAACACGAGTAATAAGAACTCAAATTTAAAAGCAAAAACGAACAAACAAAAATTAATTCCATATTTTGAGGAGTTTTGTATTACGATAAAGATACTTACTTTTTACAATGATTTCAAATTTACAAGATGCTCTGTTACCACTGGGATCTTCAGCATAGTAAACCACAGAGGTGACACCTGGTGGAAATCTTTTTCCAGAATTTTCATTCTAAGTTCATAAAAAACATTAGTTTAGTGTCTATAGCATTATTATCACTACAATGCAACTTTCTGTCATTGTGTAGATAATGTTTGTTTCAGGTTTTCTTTCGCAAGATAATTTAGTACCCAATAAAAACAGTCACATAAAAAGACTTACAGTATTGGAAATGATGAGAAAAGGGTTATAAAAAGAAAATACCACGGGAATGCCTCTCCTTTATTTAGTGAAAATGAATTACACCAGGGTACAGTCACATGTAGATAATTTACACTGTTATTGGTTATAATTCACCCGATCTGATAGTGCCACACAATTTAAAGCTTATAATAGTATAAATACTCATATTATGTCCAGCAGTAGTAGTAATGTGGTACAGTTATGCTTTCCACACTGAAAAACTGCATGGCAGGAGTGTATATATATAAATGTATATATTTCTATTTTATGTCGACTGTTCTAGTTTATTTCTAAGATACGCATAAATCACTTTGCGAAGTATGTCATTAAAGTGATCTATAGAGTAATGCATTTTAAGTGATTTGTAGTTTGGAGCTATGTTATTCTTTTCAAACTTGGAACAAAGAAATATGCATATTTATTGTGGAACTTTATTCACCTTTCAACAATGTTAGAGTAAGGAGGGTTATGCTATTAATAAAGCTCAACTCTGAAATTGTTTAACTGAATCTTTATAAAAAAACTTACTCTATTACTTCAATTTCCGTGTCATTTGCTACTGCATTTAATTTTTTTACTTACATTTTGTGAGCTTTAAATTTATTATTCATTTTATTATTTCTTTATTTTACGCCTTTTCAATTCATCAACTTTATCATCTTTTAAGTCATATAATTTGTTTGGGATGATAAACTCCAGTCAAAAGCAAAAAACATTTTCAGGGGTAAACCTGAACTTTCTAAGAAGAAATGTTTATCAAGCTATTATAAATTTGTCCATTTCAATAATGTTAATATTAATATATAATAGACAGTCTGTTCCGTGTACATTACAAGCATTGTTGACCAACATAGAAATGATAGTGTCTTCCTACAATGAAAATGTTTTTAAACAAATGAAATGATATTGAAACAAATTAGATGTATTATTCTATGTTGTAAACACTAATGTAATTCAAACAATTTATTATACTTGGAGAATAAATTTCCACAAAGCGATACCATGTCCATGAGATTATTGAAAAAAAACTTAACGTATTTGGTGGGGGTCACACTCATTTTGCTCAAAATGCAAATACATTTTATAACCTTCCTCATGAGAAATAAAGCTACGCGTAATCTACAAAATCTTAATGTCAGACTTTAGGTACAATATACATATTTCACTTATAAGCACGCAGACAAAAAATTTGTTTCATCAACTGCACTTGATTTTTGAATTTTGAACTGATTAATACTACTAGCTTTTTACAAAATATGTAAACGATACTTACTGAAAAAATTTTCAACTCATCTAAAGAATTGTCCCAGAACACAGGTTCTCTCCATGATACTTCTATATCTAGTTCATTGGTCTCTAACTCAATTGTTGAAGGACAAGAGAGAACTATAGGACGTTCGTTGTCTGTTTTAAATAATTCGAAAACATATTAAACTTTATAAAATCAAAAGCACACATATACGAAGGTAACTTTCTTATCACTACTGGCAACTAATTCAAGCATATAAAATAGTATCAAACATTGGTATGTGGAATAAAAATATCCTGTATAAATAGTTTATGGCGAAGTCAGAAATCAGTCCTATCCACTTCCTTTAGCATAATTGCACCTAATACTCTACATTTATTTTGGATTAAAATTGAGATCGAGATCCGAGATCTGCTATCTCGACCAATTGATATTTTGAATAAATTCCCAAAGTTTCTGGCACTTGACATATTGATATTTTACTATATTCATGAACAGTAAAGATTAGCAAAAGTAGACGAGTTGTTTACTTAAAAGATTGACAGGCTAGTTTGCACTGAAAACATTTTTGTCACGCTAATACATGCCTCTACAACACAAGCCAGTATGACACAGTTTAACAACAATAAACAAGTAAGCCCAATTTGACTATGAAGTGTTATGTTAGTTCCCAATTTTTTGACATTGCAGTAGGACTAACTAGATGCCACTAAGTAGTAAAGACAATTTTATAAAGAGAAAGAACAGCATATACATTTTTTTTTTTTTGCATTGGCGCAGTCACTATAAAAACTGAACACTTACAGATACTAAAACAGTGAGAAATAATTACACTGGGTTCATAAAAATTAGATTTAAAGTCAGTCGGTCTGTTGGGTAAAACATCGTTATATCAGAATAAATATTTAACTGTTTGTCTACTAGATAACACACAAGTATCACATTAAGTACCTACATTTAGTCATTGACTTAATAGTTCATAAATACACAGGAGCTAATTATTACGGATGATTTAATAATGTAATGCAAAAATATGATGTGACTCGCTGTGTGACATATGAATAAAACTGTCAGTGTAATTAATAACATAGTTACATGGAATATAGCTCGTACTGTAACAGTAACTGTATATAGTAATTAGTATGTTGAGTGATATAAAATCAAAATAGTAAGTACCTATGGCGGTTTTGTAATTGAGAAATCATTCAGAAAGTATCTAAATTGTCGCCTTCAGTGACTAAGTGCTAAAAACCGGGTTTCGATACCTGTGGTGGGCAAAACGCAGACAACCCATTGTTTACCTTTTCACTTATACACAAACAATCTACAATGTGTGAAACTCAATTTCCTAGAAATCTACATCAACCTTGTCTCATTTAATCTCTTTTAATAAGTGTGCTCTAGATTATCATGCATTCTAAACTGTATTAAAATAATTGAAATTTGAAGCGCCAAGCTATCGGAATGAGTAAATATTCTCGCCATTAAGAAATAAACAAACTCTGAGTAACTGTACCTTTCACAGTGATTGAAGTTTTGCAGTTAGATGATAATAACGCTGAGTCCGTTGCCTTGAAAGAAATTACAGTAGTTCCTATAGGTAACTTTGCTGGAAACTTCAGTGCAGGAGACCAGGCGACTTTTGGCTTGATATCACTATTATCTGAGGCATGAGGTTCTGGTAACTTGACATGAGCGTAGTTCTTCTTCGGCTCTGTTGAGAACACTTTCGATGGTGGACATTTTAAACTAGGAGGCTCAATATCTGTATAAGTTCGAAATTATCTGACTGAAGGGCATTTCAAAACTTAATTTCAAACTTAATTTTTACTATCATAACATAGTTGTTTAAATATCATATATGATTGGCACGATTATAATCACTACTTATTATGTTAACCATTTATAATTCAGAAAATATTAGTTTGGAAATGACACAAGAGCAATATTTATTATATTAAAATGTGTTATAAAACTTTAATGGTTCTTAATAAAAAGTAACATCATATAAATTTCAAGGCAGGTATGATACTTAGAAAGTTATTTACGAATTAAGAGTAAACATATGAAAAAAATATAATTTAAAGAACAAATTGAAGTTTCTTAAGGAATCAAGTTTGAAATAATGTTGCAAAAACGCCAGCATAAAATAAAAATAAGATGTTCTACTATTCAAAAATAAGAGAGGTTTAATTATGTGTTTGAATAACATACTTAAGATACATGCCGCTGATCACGAGCTTCTGTAATTAAACGTGTAAGTCTGTACTTTATTGTATGACTGATAACTTACCTCGACATGTTGGTATTTTGTCACTCCAGTTGCCATGTTTGGTACATTGTAAGAATGGGCTGCTTTCTATCTGAAATCCAGGGAGACAGGAAAACAAACAGACTTTGTTGAATTCTTGATGCTTACCAGGTGTGCACATTTGAAGTATCCCAAATCGAGGAAACTTCAGGGCTGGACACATCACAGCTATTAATGGTGAAAGAAAAATCACCATCAATTATGTAGTTAATTGAAGAACATATCCTGAACGTCAAAATAACTGTTACCAAATATTTAATTTAAACATTACATGAAGTTTTAGTGAAATAACTGTCATTTTTTAACAATTATTTGGGGCGTCGAGATATTAAAGCACATAAGTACCACTCAGGGTTTCGTGAAATTTATGGATATTTAAGTCTTTAATCTCTAAAACGTCTAACTTTATTTTGTTTTGTTTTTAAGATAAGAATATACTGTTTCTTTTGATCGAAATACTTATTGTAAATATGCCGTCATATGTTACTGTAGCACACAAGCCTCATGAAAAATAGCATTTCCAGAATTTCATATAATTATTTGGAATAAGATTAATATTTGTAAAATTGTGATTAGAAAACATAACTTCTTGTAAAAAGCTTGAAGTCGAATAAATCTTAATTTATCTGAAATCCAAAGACTTGATGAATTTCCAACAGACTGTATACGTACTACAACATAAATTATAGTAACAGAAGTACACGAGACATGTTATAATATACTAACGTTCGCAGGATATTTCTTGCCCTGACCAAACTTTTGTTGCTAAACATGTCTTCTTCTTTTGTCCAATTAACATATATCCCGGTTCACAGTCAAACGTACAAGAAGAACCGACCAAGAAATCAGGATCATCACACTTCTTCTGTCCATATGGTGGAGCAATGGGTTCTTTGCACCGAATCCCTTAGAAATAGTTTTTATTTATTAGACCTAAATTATGTCTTTTCTATCATTTTTATTCACATGACAAGACTACTAATGCAAAGCAGTTCAAAGCAGGATGACTCGAGACAGCAGCTATTGACTAGCAATATTAATCATTCATCAGGATATAAATTTATAATATGTAGCAATATGTTAACAGTTTTGAATACACTAGCGTAATAAAGGTACTGTTTTAATGGATGATAGAGGTATGCAACTTTATACGCAGACAAGGTGCCCGGTCCTTTTATATTCAAATGAATGATAATATCCATTGCAATTCTGTTAATTTAAATCTGGCTAATCCATACATAGAAACTGAGTAATATAATATAGCTTAAATCTGGCAAGAGCCAACACAAAAATCTCTGGAATAAAACTTAGGGAAAATTTTACGATTCTTAAGGGCAGAAAAGCTTTACAAAAGTATAATTTGCTGCGAACTGATGGCGTTAATCAGAACATTATACACATGCTAGCGTATAGCCCGTCAAAAATGACGGGGCAAGTACTACACTTATAAGGTTTCACGACACCCCGTCACAGCCCCCGTCACTAAAATCGTAATGGGCGGATAGTAATTGAACTATTCTATCTGGATAAATGCATCTTGGCTTTTATGATTCCTCCTATTTCGAGAAATCAAACGTGACGTGAGGTGACACACAGTGGCTTTTATATAGTTATATATTTTCTTGATTTGAACTCAGTAATCCAAAAACAGGGAATGATTACTAAACTGACAACAAGAGGTTTTTCAAGCTAACAAAACGTTTAATAATACTTGAAAATTTAATTGTTGCACAATCACAATATGTGCGATGTGGGAACATTAACTTCATATACCATGTACAGTGAAACAATTAAACGATATTGGGAATATGTTTTTCAGTAACAATATAAAAAGCTTTTAAAATAATGTTATTTGTTTATAAGAGGAAACTTACTTTGACAGACAGTTTCTGTAGCGGTCCAAGTGCCTGTCTCAAGACATATACGCTCTTTACTATTAGGATCTCGAAGTTCGTAACCCTTTTCACACGAGAAGAGGCACAAAGAACCAAAAGTATTACCACAAGGACGAAGAAAATTGCCATGAGAGGGGGCCTGGAGTGGCGGACATTCTACAACTATTAAAAAATTAAAGATATCTTATTAATTAATTAATTTCACAACCGCGAAAAGAAAAAGACAGAAAATAGCAAAAATGCACAATAACAGTTATATCTTGATTTTCCTTTTATATTTATGATTATGATTATTTTAAAACTATAAAAGAGTCAATGTTTATTTAATTCTAAAAATGCTGCAATTCACATTTCTCCTTCCATTACCCCCCCAGTGGCACAGCGGTATGTCTGAGGACTTACAACGCTATAATCCGGGTTTCGATACCCGTGGTAGGCAGAGCACAGACAGCCCATTGTGTAGCTTTGTAAAATAAAAGGAAACGTTACCGAAGAACTTAGTTTAGTAAGCTTTCATAGCCAACAATGAATTTGATGATATAGAACAGCATCAACAATAAATATATGAGTATAAGATATGAAACTAGTAGCTTAGCAACTAAAACCTTTAAATTAAAAAAAAATAAATTGCAATTCTTAGTAGAAAAAAGTGATACTTGTGGACTGCTTATAATGTTTAGTGTTATATCTCTTTACAATATAAATATTAAAAAAAGAACTCTAAGCCACTACAGAATACTACTCATTTTAGATCGATACTAGATGATCTTGGTGATTTGGTGGAACTCTTTTATAGACACGTGAAGCATCCGCTGCTACGAATAATGATTGGTGGTTGACGTGAGAACATGGTAAAAAGAGCAGTGGTTCCATTCTTATATTTTAGCTAAAAGTGAATGTGTGCTAAACTTACGCTTCAATAAAGTTTTCTATCTCTCATTCAATTGCCTTTTTGTTTCTCTTTAAAACGTGTGTTTTGCGTTTTTGGTTGTGATTTCTATAAATAACTGACTTTCCTTCCAAAAAGTTAAACCTTGTTGCTTTATATATTTTCAGAATTATAATTTTAGTGTTCTAATTTATATTGAGTTTGATTAGAACATTTTAAAGTTACGAATTTATTTACAGCATCTATTTTTTATATTTCCTTTGAAGACCATAACCGTACAGCCACTTCTAAACAACTAGTAGTAGTGTTCCTCGGCATAAAGTCATAAAATGTACATCACACGTGTAGAAATTTTGATTACTTAATTCTTCTTAATGTATTCCTTATTTTTATGAACTATTTATTTAATTGAAAGTTTTGTTTTTATTTTTGTTTCGTCTTTGTTGGAATGTAATTAAAGAGAGATAAATGGTATGTGATATCGTTGTCCCAAATTTGTATGTATTCTTTATATTTAAACTGTCTGTTTGGAATGGATATGTGTATTTATTATGTATCTTCCAGATTTTGTCCTCAATTTCTATCCATAATCATTAGATAGTATCCATTTTAGATAAAATGGACGAGACTTAATCCCATTATCGGTATTAGCTCCATAATCAATTGTAGCATTAGATAGTATCCATTTTAAATAAAATGGACGAGACTTAATCCCATTTTCGGTATTAGCTCCATAATCAATTGTAGCCTTAGATAGTATGTATTTTAAATAAAATGGACGAGACTTAATCCCGTTTTCGGTATTAGCTCCATAATCAATTGTAGCATTAGATAGTATGCATTTTAAGTAAAATGGACGAGACTTAATCCCATTTTCGGTATTAGCTCCATAATCAATTGTAGCATTAGATAGTATGCATTTTAAATAAAATGGATGAGACTTAATCCCATTTTCGGTATTAGCTCCATAATCAATTGTAGCATTAGATAGTATGCATTTTAAGTAAAATGGACGAGACTTAATCCCATTTTCGGTATTAGCTCCATAATCAATTGTAGCGTTAGATAGTATGCATTTTAAATAAAATGGATGAGACTTAATCCCATTTGCGGTATTAGCCATGCATTCGAAATATTCCCGTTCGACCTACCGATGTTCGACTATAAAACAAACTTTATATAGACAACATATTTCTATCTCATTAAATCAGGGCTGAGGAGAGAAAGCCTATCGTCATTCGACAGCGTTCGGGTCGTTGGTTTTCTCGAATTTTGATATTTCTACTTTTGTAATCTGCGACTTTTCTAATTTTCACGATAATATCAGCATCTTTATTTTTATGAGAAGTTTCATGTTATTTATGGTTTTGAATAGTTAAATTCCGATGAAAAATGGCTTAGGACAAAATTATAAACAATTTTAAAACTAAAGGTAGTATAATTTAAAGCATTTGATCGCAGGGACATTGTAATGACGAATGCTGGCGTATTATTGTTATTCAAAGTATTTTCATACCTTTTATATGACAGATAGAGCTTTCAAAACTTCAGTTTTAGAATACACAAAGTTATAATTAGCCTATTACTACTTTTCTACTCAATTTCAGCTTGACTCTGAATGGGCAACATTACTTTTAATCAAAGTATTGTTGCTTGTAGTGGGCAGTGGAAAAAAGGCGGGGCTTAGTGACAGTCAATTATAAGCTAAATATACTAAAGTGCCTTCTGCTTTTAACTAAAAACATAGGAATAGTAACAATGAAATTTTGAGGTATTGTATTTATTAAGGAAAGAAAATATACATTGAAATTTTAACTTAATAAAGATTTTAGTATCTCTAATCCTTGCTATGAACTTTCATGAGTCTAAAATATCCTAATGGTTAGGACGCTCGATTTCCAATCCACGAGCGGCGGGATCGAAGCACGAGGCCAAACATGCTCACTCTTTTAACCATGGGGATGTAATATTGTTATTGTCAAACCCCCTATTCGTTGGTAAGAAGAGTAACCCAAGAGTTGGCGATAGGTGCTGCTGCCTGATTGCCTTCCTCCTGGTCGGCAGCTCAAAATTAGTGACGGCGCTTTGCTATTAACAAATAAAACTACAAAATTTCACTTGTACATATATCATTATTTGCATGTCACAATCACCAACTTCAAATTTTGTATCTGAAAGAATTATTTTTCTGTTTTTTTCTTTAAGCAATAATATTCTCTTAAGTTCAACTTTCTCGATCTCTGCAAAACGTAAACATAAGTATACGATAAGCTCGAAAACATACATGGGATATTTTTTAGCTTATTATGAGTGTTATTGTGATGCAACATTACATCCAGTACGCATGAACAGATTATACATATTTCGTCAGCTTAGTCTTTATATACCTTAAGATTATATATCCCATAAATTATTGTTACACGTATTCTACATGTATCATTTCACCTGAGGCTTTGTGTGTTGTGGTTCAGGGAACCTGATAAGCTCTGATGTTGAATGAAAGATTTTGTCAGCAGTAATATATAAGATGCCAAAGTGTGCTGCTATGCTATTATACAATCTTCTTACAGGAAACCCATATAGAGCCAATAAAGAAAGGTGTGATATTATTATCAGACTAACTATGTTATAATATTATATCAACTAACGAACGAAAGATCATGCTTCTCCAGCTTAGGTGTTATACATAATAAAACTCGGAATTAATTGCTATTCTCTTGCACAAAGAAGCACTTACTTGTACAAGGCTTTCCTGTTGATGGATCTCCATTGTAGCCAGTTACACACGAACAATCTTTCACAGAGGTGCTGCCCTCTCGTAGTGTTGTTGCTTTAAAAGGACAGGCAGTACAATCAGAGGTTACGTCGTGACTGTTCTTGTACGTTCCTTTTGGGCAAGCTGTAGAAATAATTGTCAGTATTGTACACATAATATACGTTTTACGTTCCTTTTGGACAAGCTGTAGAAACAATTGACAGTATTGTACACATACTTCACTCTTATAAAATTGGAGGAAATCATAGTTTTCCTAAATAAAAAATGTAACTGAATAGATTTTTTTGAATTTCTTCCTTTATCAGAAAAGTATTGAATAGTTTAAAACAAACCATCAAACTATGCTAGTCGCTCCATGGAAATGTTTAAATTATTAAGCCAAACAAAAACATACGATGATTTAACTTTTTGCGGTGTCTGTTCAAAAAAACACCCAGTGTTTTATCTTATGAATTGGCCCGGCATGGCCAGGTGGTTAAGGCACTCGACTCGCAATCTGAGGGTCTCACACCAAACATGCTCGCCCTTTCAGACGTGGGGGCGTTATAATGTGACGGTAAATCCCACTTGTTGGTAAAAGCGTAGCCCAAGACTTGGCGGTGGGTGGGGATGACTAG